CTTCTTCTTCTTCTTCTTCTTCTTCTTCTTCTTCTTCTTCTTCTTCTTCTTCTTCATTATTATTACTATCATTATTGATTTTTAACGCAAGTATTATGACGATCCTATCGACACAGTTTAGATCAGTTAGGGGGTGGGATTTTAACCTTGCCTGTCGTTGCCAACCTGGGCTGAGAGGGATACAACATCCCACTAGAAAGATCGATAATATACTCTATAAAAATTCTCCCCTCCCGGGAATAGAACTTGTGTCTCCTGTGAGTAACATATTATGCAAAAAAGACGTCTCATCCACAAAATGTATCTACTCACCTTTATAAAAGCTGACATGAAGCTGTTCATTTTGTGGAACTTGAGAACACCCTGGTTGAACTTTTCGTGATCCAGGCGTCGGTCAAAAAAAGCCAGCTCTACCACACCACCCGTCAGATTTTCCAGGGCCACATCTACGTACCCTAAGTGGATGTCTTGGTAGCCGCCATAGAGCCTGCAAAGAGTAAAACAAACAATTATGTGTATTATATTATAATGCTGTTGTGTTATATTGTATTGTTCTTGTGTTAATGCACATGTATCGAAGAGATAGTGAAATGGTATGGGTTCTACGTCCCTATCAGCACTATTAGGTTATTTAAGAGACAGGACCTCCCCTCCGAAATTAACGTCAATCTCCGAAAGGACTCAGGTAAAAATGGGAAATTCGTGCAAATTGCCTTTCCGAAAGACACTAAATTAGACGGAGCTGAAGCTCGAACTTCCGAACAGGTCTGGTTAGGTTGTCGACGCTACTACAAAGACACGATCACGTCGAAATGACTAATGTACTCTAAGGTACCGAATAAACGGGGGAGGGGGGCAGGAATAAAAAGGGCAAGGGGTTGGACAAGTGGTCCAAAATTAATAAACAGGGGAGGGGGGGGATTGGAATAAAAAGGGTGGGGGGGGGGTGGTAGCACATTCAACCTCATATCCCTACACTAGTAGGAACAAATTATTAGCCACGACGCAGTGGAATCAGGCGCTCGTAAATTTTTTTTGGTTTGTGGCGTTATTGGTATTATCTGAAAGCTTATTCATTTGCCTTGCTTTTAGTTAAAAGAATACTCAATTTTCTTGAATAAAAGTCGAGATATTTGCAATTGAAGGAGGTGGGGTCGTCTCGTCTTAGAGAAAAAAATAGCGAAAAAATGGCCGCCACAGTTTAGTAACTTCCATAGTATAAGTGTGCTTGAAAACTAGAACTCTACATATTTTGTGCCTTTAATCAACGTTGTTTTAAAAAAAGTGATATTCACATATAAATTTGTTTTTATATTGACACAAAATGTTTTGAGTCATAAACAAAATTTCGATTAAAATTTCCAAACAGGCAGAAATATGCCTGTAACTTTGATTAAGTTTTTTTTTATTTTAACGTGCTCCTGATTTCACCTCGATGCCTCAAAAATCAGTTTTCTTTCTCCTTCAGTGCATAAAAAGACAAGAGATTATGAAATGTTAGTGATTTTTTGTAAGTTACTGTGACCATTTTCCCCATTTAGAAACAAACCAGTTTCATTAAAAAAATATAAGCCAATGTACCAAAGTTTTCAGAACGCACAGACAACTGAGGTATAATATATTATACAGGCTCTCTCATTGAGACTTCACCAAACAGACCGTTTTCCCCGTACGCAGCTGTAGGTCAACAGTTCAAGAAGGAAAAAGGGTCCCTAAACTCGCGAGAGCTCACCACATTGTATTGTGTTGTATTGTGTTGTGTTGTGTTGCATTGTATTGCATTATATTATATTTATATTATATTATATCATATTATCATATTATATCATATTACATCATATTACATATATCATGTTATGTTATGTTATGTTATGTTTTGTCATATCATAATCATATCATACCATATCATTATATTACATTACATTATATGTATCACGACGCTGTGGATTCAGGCGCTCTTCAATTTTTGAGCATGTGGAGCTATGGCTATCATCTCAAAGCTCATTCATTTACCTTGTTTACAATGAAAAAAAAATACCAATCTACCTTTAATAGAGGTAGAGATATTTGCGATTGAAGGAGATGGGGTCGCCTGGTTTCAGTGGTAAAACATGTGAGAAAATGACCGCCAAAGTTCGGTAACTTCAAAAACTTGAGAGTCCTTGAAAACAGAAAAAAATGCTTTTTCTATGCCTTTAATCAACGTTTTTCAGATAATTGCACATGGGAATGTGTTGTTAAATGGACATAAAAGGTGTTGAGCCAAAAATCTAAACTTTGATAAACATGACCAAACTGTCGGGAAATACCTATCATATTATATTTTATTATAAACTCGTCTCCTTCTTTTATTGGTACACTTTTTTTGGATAGTATTTTACATGAAATTATATAAATCTAGGGGTCAAGGAAGTTGTAATCATGATATCAGATGATTCTTAAAACAAAACAGAGCTGTGTTTATTTGATATTGCCTGGACCAACTCCTTGGAAGACAGATATTTTGCAAGATGACTAGATGTTTCACATGGTAAATGTAAGAGCAGTACGTTCAAATAGCAAAACCTATTGTATACACACGATTACCTTTCCAGTGCATGTATGTGTGTTTGGTTTCCTTCTCTCTGTTGCTCTGTTGTTCTATTTGTCTGTTTGTCAATTTGTTTGTCTATATGTCTGTCTGCGTGTCTGCTTCTCTGTCTGTCTGTCTGTCCGTTTACAAGAAGACAGTAGCCGAGAATTCTTTTTTTTAAACCCAAAGTCTCAGGCCTCCGAATCGTATCTATCGTCTGATCTGATTCATTCACAAGTGACGTCACAGTATAAAGCACACATTTCAACAGCCCAACTCACTTTGCGTAAGCTTTCTCCAGGAGAGGCAGCCAGTACTCGCTGGGCACACTGCGGTTCGAACCGTAGATGAGCCGGCCGTTGTAGGTAGGAAGGCGGTCGTCAACCACCACCTCCACCCAACGGCCCCGGTACCAGAACCGGAATCGGAAAGCACCTGTTGGATGAACAGTATCGATGAGGAATCGAATGGCGATGAGTGCTTAAGGGCCTCAATGTAATAATTTTGAAAGCATTACAATTTCGATTAAACATTTTTACGTTTGATATTTGTAAAAAGAGTATCATTAGCTGTAGATTAGAAATTTACCATGTGCAATTTAAGGAAAACCAAGCCATATTGGAAGATATGTGGGTAGGTAGGTAGGTAGGTAGTTAGGTAGGTAGAAAGGTAGGTAGGTAGACAGTTAAATACAGTGAAACTCGGATTTAACAGAGTCGTCAGGCCTGGCCATCAATTTAGCTGAATCCCAGTGTTCGGTACAGCAAACATGAGGTGTTTGCGTGGATACTTACAGGCACGAGTAAGTAATGTACTATGTACTCGACTTCCCCAATCAAAAATAGTAATGTTTTAAATGAGAGGAACTTTCGTTTCTTTGATACCATTTTTTTTTTTTAATGTTGCAAAATTTTAAGACTTCATTGATTCCGAGCTTGCTCACTTGTGTGTTCGTTGAACCAGAGTTGTTTCTATATATATTATATACAGTGAGAGAGAGAGAAAGAGAGAGTAACACACAAAGAGACAGAGAGAGCAACGGAGACAGAGAGAGACAGACAGACAGACAGACAGACAGACAGACAGACAGACAGACAGACAGACAGA